ACTCCGGTGCAATTCTAGGTGGCACTTCGGTGTAATTATACGAGCTGTGGTGACAGCATAGTGCACAACCTCTATAGACTCACATATCTATAGTTCTCATATGTGTACATGGGCTTTGAAAAGAGAACATAATTTGATATAATGATATGTGTATTTCTCGTGACATGGTAGAAGTGCATATATGTCATGGTGATATGAGATACTATGTGTTTATATATTATATGATTATAGAAATTAGTAATGTATTGTGGTTTATTAAAATATATATAATATGTTTATATTAATTATATGCTCATATGACAGAATTGAAGTAATGACAAGGGAATTAGTAAGGATAAACAGGTTGGTGATATGAGAACAATGTATGTGATATATGTATATGATGTGTGATATGATGTGTGCATGATATGATATATGTGTGATAGGGGTTATGGTATCTGTTAGATAATATACATGAATATATGTTGATGTATATGTATATGAGTTGTATAATTTGATAGCATAAAACAGTCATGCATGATTAGTGGGTATGAATTCCATTAGATGTGTTTTCTTTATGCCTCACTAAGTCATCGACTTAGCGTGTGAGTGTTTCACACGCAGGTTACAGAAAGTGAATATGGAAGCTGTGAGGAGCAATACATGTCAGCATCTCCCTTACAAGATTTCAGATCAGAAAATAGATGAGTTAAATGATTTTGGTTATTTTGAATATAGTTGGCATGTACTAATTGATTGAGTTAAATATGCTCTGATCGATTTTGGTTATTGTGGTCAAATTATGTAACTAAACTGCTTTTACTCTAAGGAAAGTTTCAAATTTTCTTTGAATTTTGTCAAGAGTCAAAGTTTGAAAAGTCAATGTGACACCTCGGACTCGTATCCGGGTCGGGTACGGGTTGGGGGTGTTACAGTGGGAGCCCAACAAAGGAAGCTCAATAGCATGACCTAGTAGATTAGGGTTCTAATGTTTAACACCAACGCCACACAACCAGGGTTATTAGATCTGACCTTTTGATTCAACGATCGAAAATACACCAGACCACCAATCAACGACATATAGAAGTCACGCGCTAGCAAGGCCACCAACCGACCAAAATTTTCGAAGCGTAATGAAGCAAAAGGGAAAATATTTCCCTGATTTTTTAGTCAACTTCAACAACGAAGTGCAAACGTGCAAAATCTCCAACATATCGAGACTGCACCATCTCACTATAGTCGGAAACAACCCGTCAGAGGGGCTATATATACGACGAAAACCAAAACAGTGGACACGGAGAAAAACCCAGAGAGCAACCAAGAAATATATAACAAAGGTATCACACACCCAAGAAAAAGGAGCAAGTCAAGCAAAAAAACAGTCGCATAGTTAGAAAAAAATACAAGACATTTTAAGTTTATCATCTTCTAGGGTCGGAAGGAGAACGGTCACCGAGAAAGCCAAAAGGCTTCACCAGAAAAAGGTAAACCCGAAAGTCTTTTCTTAGATCTACGTCGATAAAGGAGTTTTCCTAGTATTTGGGGGTCAATTTTAGTCTTGGGGTGTTGAGAACTTTCGAAAAGTGTAGGTTTTAGGTTCCGACCACTGGAGGCGGTGGATGGAATGGTGGTCCGGGTGGCGGTGTCTCGTCGGGGAGGGTAGTCGGCCATAGGCCGATTAAGTTGGTGAAGAAAGAGTTGAGAGGATTTTGGGGGGTTTGCTTTTTAGGAAAATGTTTAAATGAATGAAAATGGGGGATTTAAAGGCTATTTATAGGGGGACTGATGTGCAATTACTAAATACTTTAATTATTTTTGCATCCCTGAAAGTTTGATGTGTAGTTTGTTTTGGTCACATGTTGTAATTTTGCCCTTGAATTTTGAATTATTTCAATTTAACTCCTATTTATATTTTTTTATATTTTGTAATTTGGTACCCTAACCTTTTTATTTCTTCCTGTAGCTCACCTTTATTGTCAATTTGACCCCTAAATTACATTTTATTTCAGTATAATCCTCTCTAATATTTATATTTTAAAATTAACATTATTTTATTTATTTCTCTTTATATTTTTAATTTAGCCATTTTTTATTCTAATATTAATTTAATTTTTTTAGGAACTTTTAAATTGGTTAAAGGTAAGCAATTCGGATAGAACTTTTAAATTTTAATTTAACTTTTAATTTTCACAATTAAGACAACCGAGAAATCATATTGGTACCGAAAGGGCAGTACAAGGGTGCTAATCCTTCCTTGACTGTAATCGACTCCCGAATTCGATTAATTTGTGGTAAAACGAATATAAGATAAATGGTAAATTAGGGTGTTCGATCAACCTAATTTAAAATGATCGGTGGCAGCTCCAACACATCAATTCGAGTCGAAACTTTTTTTCGTTTGAATATCTTTTAAATAAACGGTTACGACATATATATATATATATATATATATATATTAAAATATCTTTGTGGAACATTTTTTTATTTATGTTTTCACAAGGTTGGATTTGACGAAGTCACGACTGATTAAGATGATCCTTATTTGAAATCTTGTTGATATTCTCTACTATGGACCTTTAGATTGAATTTGGATGCACTATTTTGTGTTCGTGGATAATTTCTCGTGACGCTCAACTTTGGTTTGCGGTTCTCGATGGTCTTTTAATAGCTTAATTTCCTTTTGTAGTTCATTTGCTGATGCAATCAGATTTGTTCGTATATATTTTTGTTCGAGTCTTTTAGTTAAGTTTTTAACTTTTTTCATGTATGGTCCTTGTATGATCTAAAGTAACTAGTTTTAATATTACAAAAACAATGTCCAAATTATATTTATTTAACAATTATAGTTGTAAACTCTTATTATACTTTTAAATATCTTCATTTTTTTAATAATATTAGTGGCTTCTATTAAAAAATATAATTATTATACTATAATAAAATCTATCACCTTAAAAATAATTTATTCTATATTGATAGAATCTCAAAAGTCAACATTACCTTAAGGTTAACACGATCTTGTTAATTTTGTATACTCGATATAAGGAAGTATGGGAAGAGACAAATCATAGAGAAATAAATAGTTTTGATGTGTATAATAATGAGTTAAATCTTGAAGAAAAAACATAAAGTTGTGTTACTTTTTCCTTCCCTTCTCTTCTTTCCACCAATTGAAGTCAAATCACTTAAACTTTAATGTCTCTTTTGATCACCAAAACTAATGATTGGTAGTTCAAATCAAAAAAATAAACCAAAACTTAATATTTAATTTGTTTATAGTTAAATTAATGGATAGTATCGTCTTCTTCTTTTTCTTTTAATTTTTGTTTAGTCGATGATAATATTAATTTTATTATTATTGTCATTTGTTGATGATTATTTATTCTCTTATTTTTTATTTTATTTCTTTTATCTTTTTACTTTAATCTTTTTAATTTTGAATAAAATTTTCTATAACTGTAACATAATTTGTCTATGCTCTTGTGATACAATCCTCATGGTTGTTGGTTTGTTTTTCGCATACCTTTGCGGTCGTTTTAGTTCTCACATGAAAACCACAAGATATTTATTTTCTAATTAGTTAGCCGATGATCATGTATAGTAAGATCCACTCTTTTGGTAAAATGTTGTTTGTTGATATAATCAGATTGTGTAACGAAGCAACACGCGAGATTATTTAGTTCACTCTTCTCCCCTTTCTCAGTTAGTCTAGTTTCTCATTCGACAGAGACAATGAACTTTTATGAAGATTATTGGGGTTTGATGTTCATCAACATTCTTATTGGAAGGTTTTATTTTTCTTCATATCTATAGTTTTAATTTTTTCCGTTTGAATGAATATTTTGATGACTATTATCTTTAAATTTATCTCTATATTTTAATATATTATAATTTTGATTCTTTTTATTATTAATAAAATCTAGTTATCATTATTAAAAAAAAGTTTATTGACCCAGAGAATTTCCTCAACTCATACATAGATTTAGAATTGAAATTATACATTTTAAAACTCTAACCCAAAAAGTAAATGAGACATTGAATATGGTCAGTAGCAACCACGGCGCAGCTTCCTAAGGCCGGCGGCCCTGCCAGCTGTCTTAATTTTGTGAACCGAACCGAAACCCCGAACCTCCTACACTAGGAGGACCCTTCCTTTGTACCCTTTGACCCCGCCCCCTTAGCTTCTAGGTACTTCCCTAATAATACTTACTGTTTCAACATATATATATTAATTTTACTAATTTGTGTTATATAATAATAATAATGTGGTTAAATGTGATAGCTTCGTAATTAATGTTTGCTGCTGATGGTAATGACACTGATGAGGTTTGGAAAAGGTTAAATTCCCTTAAAGGACCCTATACTATATAAATCATTCTATTATACTTTAATTGCTTTTAAGAATAGTTTTTAAACTTTAACTCCTTCATAATTTCATAATCTTCTCCATGACCCTCCTATGCTAAAAGTTCGCAACTTTGTCAGCGTCAAGAAACATGTAAATTAGAAAGGCGTAATGTTAATATTAATCCTTAACATTTATTAAAACAATTATTTTTTTTCTGGAACATTCAACTCTAATATTTTATTTTAAGGTAAAAGGTTCTTACGATGATCAAATAGTCACTTTATCTTTTATTCATTTTTTTAGAGTATTTCGACCATTAATATCTCGTTTCAGAGTAAAAGACCCATATTTTATAACATTAACCATATGTTAATTAATGTTCTCATCAACATAGAGGCATTTTACTTCAAAATAAAATATCAGAGGTCAAAATACAACTAAAACAGAATAGATGATAAATTGATTATTTAGTCGAAATTAAGTACTAGAAATGATCAAGTTATATACAGTGACTACATCAACTGAAAATACATAATACAGGGGCCTTTTATAAAATTTGACCTTTAGAAAAGGCCAAAGCCAGGTCGGTGTTGTTTTATATGTACGCGTGTATCACTGCAGGCATCGCAATAAATACCCCATCCTTCTCCTCACAATCCAAGCTCTTTCACTCTGCTCATTGTACTCTGAGAAAATAAACAACAGATACATCCAAATCCTTGGTTTTCTCCTTGAACTTTTTGTAAGGTTTGTTGCTTTACATATACAGCAGCAATGGGTGACTCACCGAACTCAGAAACTGAGTCGAGCACGGTTAGCAACAACTCGTCGTCTACCGTTTCGATATCTACCTACGGCGTCGTAAAGAGATTGGGTACTGAACTGGGACCCGTCCCCAAGAGGGAGAAGCGTCAGAGGGACAGTAGCAAGCACCCGGTTTACCGCGGGGTCCGAATGCGGGCGTGGGGGAAATGGGTATCCGAAATCCGGGAGCCCCGAAAGAAGAATCGGATCTGGTTGGGAACGTTCGCCACTCCCGAAATGGCGGCGCGTGCACATGACGTGGCCGCTTTTAGCATCAAGGGCAACTCGACCATCCTCAACTTCCCTGAACTCGCCGAGTCGCTTCCCCGACCGCTTTCTAACTCGCCGCGTGACGTCCAAGCCGCCGCCACTAAAGCTGCCGCAATGGAGTTCTCGTGTATTAGCAATACCAGCAGTAACAATACCGAGTCCACGTCCCCTTACCCCTCTTTTTCTACGTCATCGTCGTCGTCGAATGCTGATGCCATGTCGACGCCGGAGGAACTGAGCGAGATAGTGGAACTCCCGAGTCTAGGGACGAGCTACGAATCGGCGGAGCCGGGGAACGAGTTAGTGTACGTGGACCGGTTCGACAGTTGGCTTTTTAATCCCGGTGGTATTCCTGGGTATTATGAAGAAAATTACGGGTATTTTGGGGACGAAATATCATTGTAAATACAAGAAAGTGTTAATACAACTGGGTTTGGTCCTTTACCATGGGATCAGTAATTCAAAACAATAACAAAATTCTCCTTCTCAATTTTTTGTTTTCACTAAACTGTCCTTTTTCAACATTTTTCCCTATGGGAAAGGGCAAAAAAGAAAATAACACATTGCTTATCAAATAATTCAAGATGCTTGCATTGTACTCACTTGTGCTTTGGGTTTTGGTTATAAGAATTTTCATTGAGTTTAAAGTTCAATCCGATTAAATTTCATAATAAAATAAATTGATTTGAATTTTAAATAGACCTGATAATTATTTTTCTTAGAGATTTCAAATTTAATTAGAATAAAATGATTGAAAAAAATATAATATATATTTAGTAAGGGTATAGTAAATAAAATAAAGGAAATATTGTAGTAGTTTAATAAATGGTCTGTTAGAGAAGGCTTATTCCTTTGTTAGCTGCATCTCAGCCACCGTATTTGTTTACTTCTCCTGTGTACTTATAAAATATTATTTACAAAATTATTTATTTTCACTAATAATATATTAAATAATATATATTAATATTAGTGAGTCCACGTTATCTCTACTTTGATTTTTTACTTTTTTTTTTACATTTTATGAATATTTTTAGCAATTGAAAATATAAATAATATATATTAATATTAGTGAGTCCACGTTATCTCTACTTTGATTTTTTACTTTTTTTTACATTTTATGAATATTTTTAGCAATTGAAAATATAAATAATATATATTAATATTAGTGAGTCCACGTTATCTCTACTTTGATTTTTTTCTTTTTTTTTTACATTTTATGAATATTTTTAGAAATTGAAAATATAATAAAAAAGTAAACATGTTTTTTATTCCATCCTATGTTATTATTTAGTTAAAATTAAAAAATAATACAGTAGTCAAACTCTATGACCCATTGCACAGCTGGAAGATGTGAGAGCAAAGGCAAAAACTATGTGTCCTTTCGAAATGATATATACAGGAATATTCATACTATATATTATATCATGCATTTTTTATAAATAAAAAAAAACTAACAACATTAACTATTACTATAGTATTAACATTTTTTTAAATAGAAAATGATGAGTTTATAATATATTAATAGTCGGATGATCATTTTGTAATTTTTTATAGTTGAGAAACTCAAGAAAACAACATCCTAAAATCAAGATACTATTTTATAACTTTTAATAATCGGTGAATTCAATAAAACATCGCCTTATAATTGGAAAACCATTTGTATACTTTATTTTTTGTAGAGATTTAATTTTCTCGTAATTGGTCTCGCACATGGAATTTTAATTACATCGTTGACCCCTGGTTTCGAAATGGAATTACTTGGGATTGAGAAATCACAACTCCATAGTGTCAATTCTGTTTTTACTTCATTAAATTCATAAAATAAATAAATAAAAATTGAAGAATTGTACTTAAAAATAGTTTATGATTACTTAAAGTGTCAAATTTGTTAAACCAAAGCATGCAAGATCAGATCCAGCTGCTATCACTGCCTACCATCTCTTGCATTAAGCTGGAAAAAGTTGAATTAGCAATATAGTATAAGGGTTTTTGTTACATTTAACCCCTAAACTTTCATTGGTGTGTAAAATGATATTTGAAAAAAACAATTAATAATATATGTCTTTCAATGTATCAACCTACCAAAAATGATAAAAAGTAGATGAAAATAGCCCAAAATAATAAAATCATGACACGTGCCGATAGGGGTTGGTTCAAGTGGTAAGCAGTTTCATATCGCTTAAGCAATATCTCAAGTTCGAATCCTTGTGTATGCAGAAAATTTCTATTAGAAGAATCACTCACCAAAACCAAGTAGATGAAAATTTTACGATGTTAAAACTTTGAAGTAATTGATACATACTTAATATTGCAAACTAAGGGATCAAATGTAATATTGATCTTATGTATGGTTATATTTTGGTTCAATATATTGAAAATGATAATACAAATCAGTTTTTAATAAATAAATTTAAATTTACACCTGAAAAATGATATTATTGAGATTAACGACTATAATTATATAATTTTAATTAGTAATAATTAAGTTTAGGGCACAATAATCCAGTAGGAACGCAATGCTTTTAAGTCTTTGTATTCAACATTGAAATTTAGCTAATCTATTTTCATATCCATCATTTTCTTCAACAATAATTTAACTCCTTTGAATCAAATTTGGATTTAAAAGTGACAATCATGGGGTTAGTAGAGTTATAGAAGCAGACAGCTTTATTAAAACGAAAAAAATATTTAAAATTACAATAAAAGTTTGTAATTATAAACGTCGATCAAATTTATAATTAGAACATTTTCTTGTAATTATTGACACAATAAACGAGTCACTTGAGATCATACAAGAATCATAAAATAAAAATGTTAAAAACCCATAAAAAATCAGAACACGAGATAGATATGAACATATTTGATTGCATCGACAAACAAACAATAACATGGGATCAAACTATTAAAAGATCTTTGACAATCTCAAATTAAAGCCGTGCATCGTAACAAAATTATCTATGAATACAAATAGCAAATCCAAATCTAGTCTAAGTATCTAAAGTAAGAAACATCAATATATATAAAAAAACTAATCGGGAGGACAATCCAACAGAAGGACAACTCACCTTAATACCTCATATCAAAGAACTGATAAGTAGAGACTGAGAAGCTTCAATTAAGCATATACCAGGAGAAAGAAATGAGGATGTTAAATACATTAAAACTGATAAGTAATTTGATATCGTTTAAGTAAAGTTATGAATTTGAATTCTTGTGTATGCAAAAAATTCTTATTGGAGATTCATCTCAAGTGTGCGACACCAGATTAGTTAAGACAACATTGAAACTGGTAAGAAAAAAAACTACATTAAAAGTAAAAGATAATTTCACAAATAATATTTAGATGATGTCAAATACTTTATTATTTATTTAGATTCGTATCTAATACATTAAAAGTAAAAGACAATTTCACAAATAACAATTAAATGATGTCAAATACTTTAGTATTATTTATTTTATTTTAAATCTATTATTTGACATCATTTGAAAACTAGTTTTTCCTATAGTCAGTAAATGAAATAATAATTTTATTTATTATTTATTATAAGAAAGGAAGGAAGAAACTTCCCATGGTGGTGTTCTATTGACATGTGTTCATCATTTAATTTAATTTTCCATTATAGGTACGGACATGGAACAAATGACAAAGTAATAATCATAGCTCTGAAACCTGACAGTACTTAAATTAAATTGGACAACGATGAGAGACAATGTACCTCTAGTTTTCATAAATGTTGGGTCAGGTCCTTCGTAATCAAATTCATCACATCTACTTATGATTTTTTTCAGACAAGTGCAATTTGTCTATTATTCCTATTTATGTCATTTTCACATCAAATTTTTAATTTTTATAACTTTTAACATAATGATAAATTTAATATTTAATATTTATATATTTATTTATTTATTTTTCTTGTCACATGTCATGTCCAGAACGTATAACATGCAAGTCCAAAGCTAATCGTTGAATCCATTGTACGTACCATATAGTACGTATTACACACCATAAACGATGCATGTTGTTACAAAACGAAATGCCAATTAATATGTTTCCATTGGCAAAATAATCATGGAATGCAAGGCAGCTGGCATATCTTAAATTTGGAAACTATTGGGGATAGAACTTATCACCTACTATATGTCCATGACCATGTCAATTGGACCACATGCCTGGCATGGGCATGCAAATATCATGTAAAAATAGATTTGACATAAAGTACTGTACATCAAAGCTATGAGATTTGAGAATGGACCAACACTAAACTTCCATATCCCCATTAAAATTTGCCGACCCAAACTAACATCATTTAATCAATCAATCAGCAATTGCAATCTTTCGTTTATCATGATTATGTTTTTGAACGTGCTCTTAAAAATGCGTACCCCATTATTTTTTGTTCTCTATTATTGGTTCTCTTATATTTGATTTTTTTAATTAATCATTGGTATCTGATTTATTGATTGACTAATCTGGGTACTGCAGAGGTGAAGGCGACCCTCCCAACCCAGTTTGTTCCATTCGTAAACGTCAATATTTAAACCACTGACCTTGTTTAAGGGACCTAGTGCCTCATCCCACTAGACCAACTGGTTGTTGGTAGAATTTGATTTTATTAATCGAATTCAAATAAGATAATATATAGATTTATTATAAAATAATTATTTTAATTCAAGTTATTTCATTTATAATATCTTAATATAAACTTCTAATATTATTTAAAGAATATAATGAAATCAATTAATAGTTGAAATATCTTTATTTGTTTAAAATATTTAGACATCAATTCTAATTAGAACGATGCAAGAAATTTTGGAGGTTATGAGATATTTATACACACATTAAATATTTTAAAAGATATGATAAATTTAAAATAGAACTGATCATACATATAAGTTGTAGCAGAAAATAGTGTGCTCATTGATATAATATTGATATCAAAATTATAAAAGGTAGTATATCTTCAAAGACTCTCAATCATTTGATAATAAAAGTTTATACTCTATGTACGTGATATTCAAACCCAAAACTTCAATGAATAACTGTTGTAGAATCGGACAAAGATAACGAAAGAACATAAGAATTTTAAAGAGGTTCGGCAATGTTCTTACGTCATCGGTGCCTGGGCGGCGCTAGAAGTTTTATTCAATATCCCATAGGTTTAGGTTACATCTCTATTTATAATAGAAAAACCTGGTACATAATTACATAATTAATCTTGTACCGTATCTTTATGAGCTATACCGAACAATAATAATAAATCTTTTAACAACCAAACTCAAATCTGAAATAGTATGGACTTGAAATTTTAAAACGTCCAACTGAACCACCCAGTGGCCATATATGACAGTAGATAGCTTTTTTTCATGGCCAAGTTGCATAGAAACGGTGGAACACGTTGGGTGGTGTCGGCCTTGTTTTAATGGCGACCAACACTAGAGGGGACCAAGGTTAAAATATATTAATATATATTGTCATGGAAGGAATAAAAA